ATCAGCTTTGTCAATGGAATCAGCAGAGAGCAGATTATTTTGAAGTAGACGCTGAATTGCTCCTACACCCCAAAGAGACCACAGAGTGTCAGAAATTTAACTGTAAGTAAGATGCAGAGCAACAACAACTGAGAAGACTCTGCTGAGCAGAAGATAAGTAACATGCACACTTTTGGGACCAATAGATTATAAAGTTCTATAACATTTAGATTCCCAAGTTATGCTTGATAGATTCAGTACTAGCCATTAGTCAACTATGTCATGTAAAAGTGAAAATGGAAAAGCTTTCCAGGCAGTCTGATAGGACAAGTGTCAGCATGAAAACAAACAGTGGCGTAAAATAAGATATCTATTCTTTTTTCTTTTTTTAAAAAAATTATTATTATTTGTTGATTCTTTGTAGCAAGAATGTGACACCTTTCACCTTTTTTTTCCATATTTTCCGCCCACATACAAAATTTGTTCATCAAGGCTTTTTGTCAATGACAATGAACTTAAAATTGCATGAACTTGCATATCAAAAGACAAAAGTGTACAAACCTACCATGATTAACATGATCCTTCGTTTGGCTTGATAAGAGAGAAGACACCAAGACAGCAAATCTTCTTTCCTGATTTTATATTGTTTTTCATAGCATAACATAAATATTTCATGGAATAACAAAGCAATGATAATACGAAATCTATCAGAAGGCATTTTATCATGAAGTAAATGTTTGAAACAATCAAGATTAGGAATTGACAAGGGTAAAGCTAAAGCTCTGGACTTTGCTAGATGTTAGGATCATGGCTATCAAGGGGTTACTTTATCAATACCTTCTTTAATATTATTTGAAGCCAATATGTATCACCATGAAACAGAAAGAAAGAATTTCATCCAGTAAGTTGAAATCTTCCATAATCCTACCCAACCTGATTTCATTCAAATTTTTATTTACGGAAGTGAGGAGAGATATACCTTAGGAGGAAGAGCACTTCCAGCTTTCTCACAACCCATACTGTCTACTGGTGCATCTTCAGAAGACCTCATTTTGCGGATCCCTTCAAGGACTTTCTCCCAGTTAGCAGGAGGTTTACCTGTGTCAACTGAAAGGAACTTAAGCTTATTTACACTGGCATGTAAGAAAGATATTTAAATTGGAAAACCAGTTGATTGATAGTTCCTTTTCCTCCTACTAGAGGCAGACATTGTCCTTCTCTGCTACAATTAGGGTTAGCTTTATGTGCAATTATTCAAATTCAAAAATCCTCTTCATCATTTGCCACTCTTGGAAAGTATACATAATATATTTTGACGGTAAACCTATTGAGGGAATCCTCTTTGTTTCCTAACATGCTTGGCCAACAATCATGATATTTTATGATGGTAAACCTATTGGTTAGCATGACCAAAGGAGGTTATAAAAAAGAAAAGAGTGAAAAATGTCCCACTCAACTCATTCGTCATCAATCCTAACTTTAACAACTAGTCACTTTTTTTTTTTTGGGTGAGAGAGCTACTAGTCACTATTTGTTAATCCTGAGATATAGTTGTGATTTCATGCTTCATCAATACAAGTCAGCATTTAGTCTAAGAGTGTTGGCCCAAATAAAAGATGTTGCACATATGTATACTGCATGCCAAACTTCCGAAAAACGGCAACATATTTTTACTAGTGCAAAAAGGAATAATTAAGGAAAAGAGATTGTCTCAAAATCTAACATGGCAAAAACATAATTTACATTCTTTTTATCTTAAAAGGGTGGTGGAGGGAGAAGTATATTTGTACAAAGGCCCAAGTTTTGACCTATATAGTTTCTTTCACTTATCAAAAGAAAAGGTTCTTTGTCTACCTTTGTTATTATTGTCATTACAGGGAGAGCCCCCTCTAAACCAGTCATACGGCATACTTCACAGTTAATTCTTTATTTCTTTCATGACACAAAAGATTAAAACGGAAAGAATAAAAAGACCACAGGGTTAAATATGCAGATGTATTTCTTAAGATGAAACCTCATCATGAAAGGTGCAAAGATTCCCACTAGTAAGAAATTCTGACAGAAACATAAAGTTCTTCATTAACAAAAAAAATAGAGTGCTAAAAATTCATCAAAGTACTTAGTCCTGTAATAAAGAAGGCAAGACGAAATGAAATGCTCAAGAAAGAAGAGAACACATGCAATAAGCAACACATTCAGTGTATCAATTCGAAATGATAAATGCACAAGGACTGCTCAAAAAACAACAATATTTTTTAGCTAGGACAGAGTTCAATTCACAAACAATTTCTTAATGAATGGAATCCACTGGTATGAACGGAAAGTGCTTCATAACTTTTTTCATCTTGTCATCTATAAGCAAGAGCCCGTTTCACCAGGAAACTAAATACACCTAATCATGTGTTGTCAAAAGAGGTACTTACTTGAATTTGTAGATGCACTCACTTTTGTATATGTGAATTCTTCAATGTCAGGTGGGGCAGCGAGCTGCACGGAAGGAACTGATGATGTGAATTATGACTACTCCTTGCTTAAAACTATGCAAGATTAGCTTCAAGATTGCACCATACATCATTGATCCAATTAATGCCACTCAACCTTAAGCAGTTGGTTATGGTTTTAGTTTAGCTCCACATTTTCTATATTGACTAAAAGTAAGTTTATTTAGTCCAACTAAACGCAAGATGAAACCAATTAGCCAGTAACAGGTGCATTAACTCACATACCATTTCATACAAAATGAAATCATTTATAGCTTAAACTTCATTACTATAAAGTGAGACTCCTTTTCTGGATGCCGAATATCACAGTCAAAACAAAATGGTTAT